TGTTAGTTAGATTTAAATAGTCATTCAATATAAACACCGGATAGAACACCGAATATCCTGAGAAACACACCGAATATCCCAAGAAACAGTATTTCCGGCAATCTCCAATACCGATGACACGGTGTGACATGCATTGGTTGGAATTCGGTAAATAATTATAAATAAACCGGCGATACTAGATTTAGTTTTAAATACTGTTTACCATGATTATTATTTATGATACACCTGGTGAAAGAGGCTTAGTTTTTAAAAATATTGTTGTCTTTATGGAGGGCTATTACATAGTCGTATGGAATTTTATTTTAAACCAATTTCAATTATGTGAATTAAATATGGAAAATTATTTTCCTTTCAGTCAGTGTTCAGTCTCAGTGTTTTAGTAGACTTGATTTTGGGTTTATGTTTTAAGTATGTACAATAAAGTTGAATATAACGGAAAGCAAAAACGTAAACTAGTAATGACTTTCTCATTTAAAAAAAAAAAAAAAGAAAGACCGCCCTCCCGCCCCAACAATTTTCAGCAATAGCCAAATTTTATTTTGCACCATCAATGAGTAAAAAAAAAAAAAGAAACCGCCCTCCCTCCCTACAGTTTCAGCTGTCAGTTGCCCGAGAAACAAGACATTTATTTTGTGTGGCCTTATGTTGCTGTATATAAAGCTATATCTATCATGGCGTCTTTGTTATTATTTTGTAAGTTAAATATTCCATGGTTTAATTCACGCTTTACGAGATACCTCACGATTCTTTACAATTGAAATTGTGCACCAGGTAAGATTAAACCAAGGCCTGGCTGATTGTATTCATTGATATTAAATCAACTGAAAATACAAAAGAAAAAGGAAAATCTGCAAATTGAAAAGAATTGTTGACAAAAGAACAAAATTACAATCATGCATAATAAAGCGACGTACATATTTATAGAAACACCCAATATGTAATTATAAAACATATCATCTTTTAGTTTTAAATATGCATTATGTAAAAGCTAGCTAGCGTCTTACTCACTGAACCACAGCGGTCCCCATGTGCAGGCGAAATAACCTTGCTATGTGCTTTAATTAAAGTTCTCTGAGCGTGATATGGACAATAGAGGAATCCACGTAAAGTTGAATTTCTAGTACAAATAGCAATCCAATATATTTTAATTCCGTTTAGTATTTACAAAGATACGATGAAACTATAAATTCTGTTGATATATGCTACCCCTTATGTAAATGGTTCATTTCAATTTGTCTATCGTCTCGCTTCACTTTCTCGGTGGAATCTGTCGACAAAAAAAAGTCCAGATATCTTCCAATTTGCAGTTACGGTAGATTGATCAACAATGTGAAGTTTGTTTACTGTTGAATAACGTCATTATATTGTAACGACCGCTGCACCTAAAGTTGATCGCGATGGGTCTGGCTTTAATCTGATGTATTTTGGGTACCTATTTGCGTGGATTAAGCTGTGGGAAATTTGATATAATCCAGAAAATACAAATCGCACATCGTTTACCTTAATAATGCAAAATAATAATGTTAAAACAGTATTTTAAAATGTCTTCTTTATCGGTTGGTTTGTCATGGTACAAGCGTACACCGAATTTACTAAAAACAAAACAGGGTGGGAGTAAATTAACTTGGAAAGGTTAGGAGTTATAGGGACAAACATTAAAGGGACAAATCGTCTTCTGCCGTTTGTCTCATCACTACTAGAAATAGACATAGAATTAAACAAATTGTGATCAAAGAGGTAATACCCCTTTACATTATAGAACCGCAATTCTTATACACTAATGGTGTAATATTACGAATGGCGTCGTTTATTACTAGTTCTTCGGGTGGAACGTATACAGGTAACATATACAGGTTGGTGTGAACGTAAAAGAACCCTTGATAGGTAGGTGGAATTTGATGTATGAGTAGGTCATAGCGCCGCTGTAATTTTAAAATATGCCACAAAGCACACTGTATGGCGTATGCCCGTCTTCATTAGCCCCGTCGGTTTCATTTTTAATTATAGGATCACTACTCGCCTATATTAGGATTCTGTGAAATGATATTTTTATTACACGTTAATAATAGGTGCCGGCGTACCGTACCACACACAAACAACTACACAGGACACAATATGAAATTTTCGATATATTCCCTTTACATTATCTAGTTTTTAACTATTATAGCATGAACTGTCAACCCTTTATCTGCATCGTACATAATGCATCTTTAAGGAAAAAGTTAACCAAGATGTTTTTGCCAGTATATATACACCGTCACATTACAACATTTATATTGTTATTCTTTAAGTAGCATTTAGTAACTGGGCAGATAAATACACTATAAACATACTTATAGAAAACAGCTACTGATTTATTTAGGCGACAGTCTGTAGGGATACAGACTTCACTCAAAAAGGAGAATATTAATTAAGTCAAGAAAGGTGTATCTAGAATAACACATTATGTAAACAGAATTACAGTTACGACATACTTTTACCTGACCAGGAAGTTTTACCAGTCAAAAACATTCATATTGTTGATCAAGATAAGATTGAAGAAGACAGATCTACAACTAGAGATTTATTTTGTCTATGAAACGTTGTTAAAACAAATTGATTACTACAAACAGTTAATCTGGTGATATAGATGTAGTTTAAAATATTTACCTATAGGAGGAACAGAAATATGATTCCATCAGATTTACTAATACTGATATTAGCTAGTATATCGGTAGTAGGTAAGTTAATTTCTTATGGCTGTCTTAAAATACAATCAATCTGTTATTACTCATTTGTCAAATCTGACCGTTTTCATTAGCAGAAAAGTAGGACGTTAAATTTACATAATCTGACAATAATTCATCCGACCTGGAGATACAAATAATTATATTTTACACGATAGCGGCCAAATTTCAACACGCTGTTTAAGTTAATTGTTTTCAAGGATTACCGACGATAATTAATGCGAGAGTTATGCCCATTGATCACTTTGAAAAATCTTGTGGGCGCTCTTGAGGGCAAAGTTAATTTTTAATTGACATTAAATTTGTACGCAGTGTCTATGGTCATGCGACAAAGACGCATATTGCTTGTGGACGCCCTCGAGGCTTAATTGATACACAGTGTTGAAGGTCATTGATTTTCAACGGTTTCCGACGATAATTTCTGCCAGAGTTATGGACCTTGATCAGTTTGAAAAATATTGTGGACGCTCTGGTGGGAAGAATTTTAGCTAAAATATCAAATTGACTTTGAATTTCTACACATGCGACGATAATTACTGCCGAAGTTATGACCTTTGATCTCTTTGAAAAATCGCGTGGACGCTCTAGAGACTAAATTTATACGCACTGTTTAAGGTCATGAGACGAAGAAGCCTATTGATATTCTTAGATTCAGTGAACGTGGTCTGTCCCATGCAGGAACGTTAAAATAATGATTATTAATTAGTGAATTATTGTGGATTTGGGTAGACTTGTGTTGATTTGGGTAAAACTAATCTCGTCCGGTTTCCTGGCACTCTGGCACTCGATTTCGTGCTTTCTCGACTTCTCACTGCGACAATATAACATGGCCGCAATAGGCTTCCAAAGAGTAGTGATGCTGCTGGATAGCATATTGTCACGGGGTCAAAAGTCACCAGTCAAGTCCGAGAAGAACAGAAGGAGGTAATAATCCTCATTTCAAAGGTCATCATTAAGCTATATTCATCCAAATCTTCAATAACGATTGGACACAATACTAGTTTGATTGTCCAATAACTTGGTTCTAATTTATTTATGAACGAATTAAGTCACAAAGGTCTGTTTTGTCTTTTCAGATAGTTTTAATTGCATTCCAGATGGTAAGAAAATGTTTTTAGAATTAAATTTAAGGATTAAACATGTGATATCCATAACAAAGTCACTCAAACATGAAGTGACCCGATAAGGTGGGCCTGATTGGCTGCATGAAAATATCTTTCAGTGGTGTCAATTTCAACAAATAGTTCGTCAAACAAAGAGGAAAGTTGCTCTCAGTCCAACATAATAATTTGATCCATGTGTTAATACATTATATCAATCAAAGCCTGTCACAATGAGACTATATCATTAACAGAAGGGTTACAGATTATGTTGTAACATAATAACAAAGGCAAATCGATTATTAAAGATGCATTATTCAACAGATAAATCTTTCTCAAATATTATATAAATCATTAATTTACACACATTTATTTACATACCAAGCCCATAACCAACTCTCTAGATCATCGGACAGTTTTGATTTTCAGCAGATTTAAATACGATTGGCACTTAATGATTTAATTTAGAAATGGATAATCGAGTATTGTGTATTACAAAGGTAGCAATGACAATCAAGACTACACTGTTCTGAATTTTCAACATAATCCATGTTCATTGTTTCTCTAAATCTTACATAAGGTATTTATTACAAGTGCATCTGGGGTCTGTTTCATGAAATTTTAACGAAGATAAAATCCAAATTTAAGTAATTTGATTGGATAATATTAGATTGATTTTAGTCATTATTTCCCAATGAAAAAAATTGAAGTATCTACTAAAATTTGGATTTTATCTTTAGTTAAGATTTCGAGAAACAAGGCCCTGGTCAAACTAATGTACATATCAGACTATAAACCCCAGAATGCCTCGTTTGGCATTTTTGTCCAACGTAGCCAAAAAAAATGCCCCGTTTGTCTGGAGTCCCGAAACGTAGTTTTTTTTACATTGCCATGTTTTGGAACAAGGTATTTTGTCCGGAACGGGGCTGGGTATGTTACAGTTTGTTACTCTGTTGTAAACTGTCTAAAATTAGTAAAACTGTTTATCTGGCCAGTGTTACCAACATTCATAATAAATCTTAACGTGACATTTTTAAATTTAGATTACAGTCTATATTATTGGTAAATGGTTATCATTGATGATGAATTATAAAATAAATCTTGATATATTCCACATCAATATGTAATGCTATTTCTATGACATGGCCATTTTATATTTTATATTACAGATCCTTTATCTATATCAGTATGTAGTGATAATTCTATAACTGGTGATATCGTTCACCTATCTGGTGTTACAACAACTGATAATACTACACAATGTTCATGTTCTTTATCTACTGGAACATCAACCAATATTACAATAACCAACCATCGGATACCAGGTGGATGCGGGTATAAATTCCAGTTCTTATATATGACTGGAAGCTGGATATATACATGTTATCAGAGATCAATGATATCAATAAAGACGGACAGCAGTTTTGAGATAAATTTATTATCAGATAAAGAGAATAGCGGTGGATTCGGGGTCTGTCTGGAAATAACATCAGGTAATAATATTATTATTTATTCAGGGGAGAGTACGGGATTTTCATATCTCAGTATATCGATGAGTAGGTGTAGTCATAATTCGCCACCGTCTAAAGCGCGAAAAGCCCACGACGTTTACATTATGAATGTGGACATATTGAAATGGATCGACCATCTGAACCCTTAAGGTGAGCATGGACAGGGTCTAGAAATTTCAGATCTTCTAATTCGACTGCTCTGTATATACGCAAATATACAAATTGTCCTTTATATTAATCATTCTCCTATAATTCTCGAGTTGATTTTTATTTTCAGCATCATCATCATCTCTAAGACTGTCATGTGGTAAATCAAGATGGTCAACAACAAGCTATAAACCTACTGATAGAGAAACATCTTTAACAGAAAGTATAAGTTAGTTGTTAATATTCTATTGTATTTGTTTTTAAACATAATACATGTAATTTGTTCCATTCGTTCACTTCTTGTATGTTTCATCTTATCGCATTCCATCCGAGAACCATTCACAGCCATTAGATTGCATAAAGGCAATGAAATGAGGTTTAACGTCCTACTTTTCTGCACCGAGGGGGTTAATGAAGACGGATATACGCCATACATTACTATGAGGTACATTTTGCCCCGACAGCGGCGTTATGGCCTATTCTTTTTTTCGAATTCCAACCGCCAAAGGTTATTCGTCCAATCCGAAGGACTATACGTTGTCCCTTCCAAGGCCTCCTGTCCTACACCACTGGCAAGGGGAAACCATGCCGGAAAATTGCAATGAACTTTCTCGGCAAACACCTGAATCGAACAAAGGACCTCCGGGTTAGCGAGTCGGGCATCTCTTCCTCACTGAACCACGGCGGCTCACAAAAGCGGGAAATAGTAAACCGCCTACTATCAAACAAACAATTGCCAGAAACAACCAAACAATGTGTCCGGCTTTAGGTTTCTATCCATTTTCCATAGCCAACTTTTGAATGCATAATTGTTTAAATCTTACTTTGAGTATTGGATACTTGATAAAGATAAAAATATTGACACGAATCTATTAATAATAGCACCATCCGGTGATGAATCTAGCCAACCATCATCTGGTAATGAATCTAACCAACCAACATCTGATAGGGGATCTAACCAAACAACATCTGCTAGTGAATCTAACCAACAGACAACGCCAACATCTAAGAATGATAACTCGAGTAAGTCCATCTTTATATCGGAAAGAGACCACCAAAATATATTTCTTCATTACTAAAAGCGGAGTTAGATATAAGTAGCGACGAGATTTGATAACCATTTCTAGAAGATCTGATATCACGTCTTCCTTAAGGAATTAAAATAGCCATCAACGTTGATTTACCATACATTGAGAAGATTTATGGTGATTATCTGACAGTGGTTGTAATCTTTTATTAAAGGAGTTTGTTACCTTCCACTATTTAAACTAGAAGATATATTTTTGAAATAATAAATCGTTATTATATCGAATGATCTTGGAACTTTGGTATTGTTAAAGAAGTTTGTATATAAATTATATAAATGTTTTATATTCCAGTGTCTGCTATAATTGGTGGAGCTGTAGGAGGATTAATTGTGATAATCATCATCATTATTATCATAGTAATCTGGTTAGTATCAACTCTATATATACTCATTGTATCATTACCATGATAACCTGGTTAGTATCAACTCTATATTCCCTGTAATTTATAACATTTTTATTATCATAGTAACTCTATTATAACTTTAATGTATAAGTAAACAGTCGTACGTACTCCAGCTTCGATTGTGACTAACAAGAGTGCGTCTTAAAGTAAATCTATCTGAAGCCGCAACTCACTTCACTTTATTTTGTGTATAGTATAATAAATACACTTTTTATCAATCGAGGCAACTTACTTCAACTTATTTTTTATTAGAGTTTAATACATAAACGTTTTACCTGTCGAGGAAACTGAGTACACTATATTTTGTATAGGCCTAATACAGTTTAATACATAAACGTTTTATGAGTTCGCAAATTTATCAGTCGGGGCAACTCACTTCAACTTATTTTATATTACAGTGTCATACATAAACGGAGAAAAGACAAGAGTTATAAAAGTCCAGAAACTCTAGAGACTGATGCTCATCCTTACCAGAATATTCCAGATAACAGATCAGGGGATATAACTCACCAACCTAAACAGAATAATGAACTGGTTAATCAGGAGAATGATCCATATAACATTATTGATAATGATATAATTAAACCCAGCAACGGTAACCAAGGGGTGGAATATCTAGAAAATGATCTTTATATTAGTTCTGATGATGTCACTAATGACGTTGTGGTTGATGATAAACTAAAACCTAGCAACGGTAACCAAGGAATGGAATATCTAGAAAACAATCTTTATATTAGTTCTGATGATATCACTGATGATGTCACGGATAACGTGGTCGTTAATGATAAACTAAAATCAAAACTTCCGGTTGTGGCGAAATACGCTCAAGTTAACAAATCTAACAGGACCCACGAATTGGAAATTTAAGATGGGACCAAAGGGGGATAAATACACTGTCGTTAATAAAGGCGGGAAGATGATCAATAATGATAAACTTAATGAACAATTTAAAACTGGACCTAGTGGAGATAAATACACTGTTGTTAAAAAAAAGAGGGGAAAATGATCAATAATGATAAAGAATTTAAAATTGGAGATCAATACGCTGCTGTTAATAAAGAGTGGAAGAAGAACAATAATGGTGAAGATAGGGCATAATTTAAAATAGGGCCCAATAGAGATCAATACGCCATGGTCAATAAAGGTGGGGTAAAGCACAAATAATTAACTCGCAGGTTGATGGTTTAAACATTTGAAAAGGAAGTTTAAACATACATTGTGCAAGAGCTAAATCTTACTATTGCAGGTCTTCCTTTAGGCCTGGAATGTTATCTAAATTATTAATTATACATTAATTAACATATCCAGACCATAATCAACTCTCGATGGCATCGCTAGGCTGCGATGTTTATTGGACTAGGTTCCGATTTGCTGTTCGACTTCCATTCATAATTAAATCATGAAATTGATAATCGAGACTATTTTTTTTATCGTACCGACTTTAGTAATGATGATCGAGGCTAGGCCGAAAATCCAATCACTAAAATCTCGGATCATAGTGGATCAATTTGACTGAAATTTTCAGCAAATTCCCTTTATATTATCTAGTTTTTAACTATTATAGTGAGAACTGCCAGATCTTTATCTAATCTCGGATAATGTATCTTTAACGTACACCATCTTGTACATATAGTAAAAATGTGTAGCCATCTGTATACCTTTATGAACATAAAGTGTAAGTACTGTCATCATATTGTGTGTATAATGACATCAAGTATATATTTCCTTTTCTAATTTTATACAGATTTTATGTTTTATTTTATATTTAGATTAACCACATTTAAAACTTGCGTTTCTTACGTTTTATTAGCTTAGTATGTATTTCAAATTATTATTTTATAATTAAAATATGTTTTTGTTTAAAACGCGAAAATTCATGAAAGGAGACCGGTTTTGGTTTCAGTTACATAATGAAGTGTTTTGGTCTAGAGATCTTTCTTCAAAAGCTACAAATTCATACAACGTTATTTAAACACGTCACCACGTCACGAGGCGTGTATATATTTTTACGTGGCTGGATCACCAAATTCTGTGGTTCAATATTGTTATAATTAAGTTAAATGTTTGTGGCCTTGCTGAAAGTTTCAATCTGGTGTCTACCTAATCCGAAATGCTTGGATACCCCACTCCACCCCCATGAATCCAAGAAAGCTCCCCTGAGACCAAGTAAGTGCCCACGAGACCAAGTAAGCGCCCCGAAGGTTCACAAAATACCAATAACAATCATAATATGACAGGGACTGTATGTGAACTTGAAAAAAAACCCTGATTTCCGTCGACGTAACGACAGGGGAACAATTATATAGACAATACGATCTATGTTCTACCAGGACGATCAGTGTTATAGCCAGTATTGTTTTGGCATTCATTGTGGGATGGATTGTGGATGGCGCCCCAAGATTTTGACGCCCCCCCCACCACCGCCCCCAGCTTCTAAATCCGCTAAAGAAATTTTATAAATTATAATTCTATATCATTCTATATCATTGTGTGATATGCCATCTTCATTAAAAGTAGGACGTTAACCCACAGTTCATTTCTTTGTGTGATGTCATTTTATATTTTTACATGTGTCTATATTACTGTTAACTAGACTCTATATTATGTACCTAACTATAATATTAACGTGTTCTCATGTTACTATATATAAAGATATATATATATCTATCTATCATGGTGTCTTTATTGTTATTTGTAAGTCGTTTAATTCACGATTCTTTACAAGTGATATTGGGTAATATGTACGATTAACCTAAGGCCTGGCTGATTGTATTCATTGATATCAAAACGACTGAAAATACAAAAAAAATGAAGATATGCAAAATGAATGAAACTGTTCACAAATGAATAAAATTACAATCATCCATGCATAAACACGACCTTAAAGAGACGTACATATTTATAGAAACACCCAATGTGTAATTATCATACACATCCTCTTTTAGTTTTAAATATGCATTATGTAAAAGCTAGCCAGCGTCTTACTCATTGAACCCCTGCGGTCCCAAGAAATAGGTGATATAACCTTTAGTGAAAGCTTATGAACGTGATATGCAAAATCAGCTCTCGGTGCCATAGGATGCTCTAGATATTCAACGGATTTAAACACGATTGGCGGCTGATGATTTAATTTAAATATAGATAATCGAGACTTTGTTTACTATCGCGACACAGGTAGGAATGACAATCGAGACTCTGCTATTCTCCAAACAGCCCTAACATCGCTCAGAATGAAGTAATTTGACTGAAATATTCAAGGTCTAGTGTTTAACTATTATAGCGAGAACTGTCAGCTCTTTATCAATATCTTACATAGTGCATCTTTAACTATTATAGCGAGATACTGTCTGCTCTTCATCTAGATCTTACATAGTGCATCTTTAAGTAAAGAAAAACTTTTACTTGACCCAGAAGTTTTACACCGTCAACAACATTCATATTGTTGATCAAGAGAAGATTCAAGTTTTGATATTTTACGAATGAGTGGGGATCATAAGTGAGTACATTCATATTACGGGTTATTAAATATTGTATACTGTTATTGACGTGTGAGGGTGCGTGGCCATTAGGCGGGGATCATATTTACTTCTTCAGACAAGTAAGTACATTCATATTACGAGTTATTTTATATTGTATAGTGTTATTGTCGTGTGAGGGGGCGTGGTCATTAGGCCAGTCATGCAGAAAACTAGCAAAGATATGTCTCACGTAAGTTATGTCAACATGGTGATTTTGTTACTGCAACATTCTCCTTTAAAACATTCATGTTTAATTATAATATGTATCATAAAGGTCACTTCGTACTTCTAATAATCCGTCTATTTTGTTTTACAATAAAATAAAATATGAATTTGTAGGTTAGATGAATCAAGGTAAATGTGTCGTATAGTATAACACACACCCACTCAAACACAACAAGATATATATTTTGTTAGAGCCATTCTTTGTGTAGATTTTTTAAACCACAATATAAATTTGTAGGTAGATGAATCAAGGTTTGTGTGGTTTTATGAAAATGAATAAGAAGACAGTAATGTATTCACTTGGTGTGTTTATAATGGTTTTAACTGGACATATGAGGGTTATTCATGGTAAGTACGTCATTGTTATATGAGTTTTATTCAAGGTTAGTACGTCATCGTAATATGAGGGTTATTCACGGTAAGTACGTCATCGTAATATAGGTAATATAAAGTATTAAATTGGATATAAAGTTTTGAATTGGATTGATCTATTATTTTATTTTGAGGAATTTTGTTTCTTCACTAAATATATTATGTTCATATTTGGCTTTAAGATGTCGAACATAAATTCGGCTGTATCTATGTATTTAATTACGCCAATATTGCACATTTTAGTATGTTAATTTTGTTAATGATCACTTTTATCCTTTTCAGGACAAGAAAATTGTGAAGGTAAATAATTATTAACATAAAATATCTGACACCATATATAACGTATGTAATATCATATTAGCTATGTGAAATATGCAGGTATTGTGTGTAACTTGATTATTCAACTTATGAAAAATAAAACCTCAAGAATTACACACTGACTTAAAACTCAAGTCATTTTTTCTGATATCATGAAAATGAAATGGGATTTAACTATCTGCACAAACTGGGCTAATGTAGACGGACATGCGTCATACAGTGTAATATCAGGGATATTTTGCCCGGACAGCGCCATACAGTGTGCTATCAGGGATATGTTGTACGCAGGACCTCAGATTTTCATCACATCCGAACGATTATACTCTGCCCCTTACCAGAAACTCGGCCCTGCATTACAGACACGGGGAACCACGCTGGAAAATCCCGATGAATTCTCTTGGCCAACATCAAGTAGCAACACGGATTCTTCTGGTCAACGCGACTCCCTATGCCAAGAAAAACCCATCTCCAATTGAAACTGTTGTCTAATCTGTCTAAACACATCCAGAATATTCCACTGTAACCAACTTGGTATGGTACACTGTGACATCCCAATAGACTGAGTCATATATCAAAGTATCATTCTGTTTATAGCAATATTGTAAATTAATAAAGGAACATTATTTCAGTTTCATTAAAGGAGAGTGTTTGTGCCCACCAATATCACAGTCTAATTCAGTCTGTAAGGATCACTCGAGTTTTCCTTTTTTGGCGCCACTTTCCGTTTTTGAAATGTTTGTTACGCATCTACAGTATCACAGATGTTAAATTAAAATTATATTCGGAATGTGTTTAACCAATTCGGTTACATATATAATATTGGTAAACACCAATATTCTCCTTTAATGGGGCGTGACTTCATACCTCTTTAAAATGATAATCTATTATTTTAGTTCCAGGTTCCAGTAGTTCTATATGCAGTACATTAGACCTACAAGACAGTAAATTCAATATATCTGGTTTGGAGCCTGGCCAACAGGTTGCCGGTTGTCTGTGTATTCTAACGTTTAACGATTCGTCCTATGTTAGTGGACCAATAACTATCAATGCCACAGCAAATATTCCAGCAGGGTGTCAACATGAGGTATTCTTTATACATAATTCAACTACAATGAGGTACAGCTGTAAGGTTTTTGAACTTATCAATACTTTTAATGTTGCCGTCCAAGATAACTTACAGATGATTCTAGTTTCTGGTGAAAGAGCACATGGTGGATTTCAATTTTGTCTCACGATTTCCACGGAACCAGGTAAGAAATGTAAATAGATTCACGATTTTGATTAAATTATGGTAATTTGTAATAATTGGTATAAATAGAGATCTTGTTACAGAGTTTAATTATAAGATATGATATTAATCAGCACCTCTAATGGGTCAATTATTCTAATATCTTGAGCGAACAATACATTGTACATAAATCACATAGTCCTAGCTGAACTGACGACACATTATATAAATGCACAGATTTCTTATCCCTTAAAACTATAAAACTTGACAACTCTATTGAAAACTTCAATAAAATATCACCGTGTTGGCCAGAAATGTGTCGATGGATATGGTAGATGGGGATCCATATACTAAATAAATTGTTGAGAAGCGGCATCAGGAACTGAGCGATAGAGATATTATCTTTCAAAACACACGACATCCATCATTATAGCTAGTATTACACATGACACTCATTATATTCTATCATTCATCTATGGCAAGGTTTGAGGGCATTTGTGTGGAACTTTTCACCACAAGAGTTCCACAAGATACTGGGTTTCTGAAAATAAATACATTCCACAAGACTTTCGACTTAGAATAATATTCATAGAGTGTTTTGGATCTGTGGTGTTTTTCACCACAAGAGTTCCACAAATTTTGGACTTAGAAAAAAAATCAATTTTTTCAAAAATTTTAGCTCATACCTCCCTATATGCCTGTGTGGTACCACATTCCACAAAATTATTCTAAGTCCAAAATCTTGTGGAATGTAGTACCACACAGGTACAGAGGGGGGGGGGATATAATAATCAGTTGATATTATATATCTTGTGGAACTCTTGTGGTACCAAACAGGCACATAGGGAGGTATGAGAAGAAATTTTTGAAAAAATTGATTTTTTTCTAAGTCCAATATCTTGTGGAACTCTTGTGGTGAAAAACACCACAGACCAAAAACACTTTATCAAAATTATTGTGGAACTCTTGTTGTGAAAAACACCACAGACCACAAACACTGTATCGAAAATTTTGTGGAATGTGGTACCACACAGGCACATGGGGAGGTCTGAGAAGAAATTTTTGAAAACATTGATATTTTTTCTAATATTTTCTAAAGTCGAAATTTTGTGGAATGTAGTACCACACAGGTCCAGAGGGGTGTATGAGAAGAAATTTTTGAAAAAAATGATATTTTTCTAAGTCCAATATCTTGTGGAACTCTTGTGGCGAAAAACACCACAGACCAAAAACACTTTATCAAAATTATTGTGGAATCTTGTGGAATGTGGTACCACACAGGCATATAGGGAAGTCCGAGAAGAAATTTTTGGAAAAAAAAAATGAATTTTTTTTATAAGTTCAATATCTTGTGGAACTCTTCTGGTGAAAAACACCACAGATTTCCCCACATCTTACAAGATGGTAGGATAAACTACTATTGTTCCAGCGAAATAAAAAGAAAATGTTTCATAAATATTTCATTGTCCACTTTTCCAAACGCCCCCAATCCTTGCCATGTCTACTATTATTATTAGTATTATATTCTATCGTTATATTCTATTATTATATTCTGGTACAATAGAATTAAATATGCACCTTGTTTGCAATGAAACAAATACAACTGGGATGTTACCATCAACTACTACCACGGAGATTATGCCAGAAACAACGGTGCCAAATACATCAACTACTACTACGGAGATTATGTCAGATACAACGGTGTCAAATACATCAAACACTACTACAGAGATTATGTCAGATACAACGGAGTCAAGTACATCAACTACTACTACAACTACTACGGAGATTAACCCAGATACGGCTCGGTCAAATATAAATGGAATGACACCATCAATTACTACTACGAAGAGTATACCAGATACAGCGGTGCCAAAATCAACACAGACGACGACTGATCAAAACACAAACTTAACATCTACAGATGAAAATGGTGATATTGTTAAAAGTAAATGTAGGTTTATATTTATAATACTGTTATAACCAAATCCAATGTGACAACATCCTGTGCTTTAAATACAAACGTAGAACAAAAATTGTTCCCAATCAAAATCATAAAAATCAGCTGAAATTTCGAGGTATACATTCAGAATAAACTATTTTCGAATCTTTTTCCCCTTTGAATACAAATGGGTGACAACACCTAATGTTTTAAAATGCAAACTTAGAACAAAAATTGTTTCCTATCAAAATCCTATACTGTCAAAATAGCTGCGGTGCAAGACTATAATACTAGATATAGATCATTGTATTTTCTGACAACTATCAGGTTCATCGCCTGACCTGGTTATGGGAGGTATTACAAAAATCTTTGAGCTACTTCTTGGGAGTTGTTACACTTTTCGTTCTTTGAATCGGATCTGGATGACAGTACTGGTTTAACTTCATATGATACTTTTATTAATTTATAGTTAAAGGCTCCGTAGTTAACTTGTGTTGAGGGAGCCATGGTCCTAGCTTGGCTTGGCCCTTCGGGTGCCAACTCCCAACTAACTTACATGGCCGCTGTCCGACCTTAATTGGGGACCTGTCTGGTCCCATGTGAACGTCTATCAATTAGATCTCTGCTTATAATCCCTGCAGCTGGATATATTGGATCATAGCAGACTAATATGTGCCATCTGGACAACCATGGGTGTCAATAGCCGACGTATGGATATTTTCATGTGTCAAGATGGCATGATAACTTATCCATAACATCTGCAGATCGTGTAACAGCTTTTCATTGTTTGAAAACACGTAGGTGTTAAACTTTGCTCAGATAGCATTTAGACTCGATGTGGAAATCATTAGTTAGACCAGTCAGTCAGCCAGAATATTTTATGTTTTTACAATACAATTGGATATAAATTATATTTTACAGTAGATGTTATTATTAGGTTAAATTATATTTTACAGTAGGTGTTATTATTGGTGGATCTGTTGGAGGACTAGCTGTGATAATCGTCATCATTATAATAATTGTGTGGTAAGTGTAAATATCATATACTTTAATAAATTAATTCTAGGTCCGGACCTGCGTGCCCCGTTTACAATATTTAACGGTACCGTTCTAGAGTATGTATTTATGGGTGGTAAAGAATCAAATAAATTTGATTATATTTGATATATTATATTTCTTGTTTTTCATTATAGTGTAATACGTAAGAATAACTTGCCAGACGGCAACTTACTTCTACGTATTTATATATTACAGGGTAAGACGTAAACGGAGAAAAGACAAGACTAGTGGAGATCAACACGCTGTTGTTAATAAAGGCGGGACGATGGCTAATAACAATAAACGTAATGAACAATTTAAAATAGGGCCTACTGGAGATCAATACGCTGTTTTTAATAAAGGGGGGAAGATGGTCAATAACAATAAACGTAATGAACAATTTAAAATAGGGCCTAGTGATGCTAAATACACTGTTGTCAGTAAAGGGGGAAGAAGAACAATAGTGAAGAAAGGGAACAATTTAAAATAGGGCCTAGTGATGATAAATACACTGTTGTCAGTAAAGGGGGAAGAAGAACAATAGTGAAGAAAGGGAACAATTTAAAATAGGGCCTAGTGATGCTAAATACACTGTTGTCAATAAAGAACAACAATAGTGAAGAAAGGGAACAATTTAAAATAGGACCTAGTGGAGATCAATACGCTGTTTTTAATAAAGAGAAGAACAAGAACTATAATGGTGAAGATGGGTAGATTTAAAGATAGGACCCAGTTGAGATCAGTACGCTGTGGTTAAATAATGGTGGAGGAAACACAAATAATTAACTCGCAGGTTGATTTTTTAAACGTGTAAAAATGAAGTTTAACGAATGTCATCTGTACCTAGTAAAAACGAGTAGGTATTATTATACCCCTGTGAAAGTAACGTTGTGTATAGTGATGTCAAGTATATATTTATTTGTTCTAATGAAATATAGATTTTATGTTTTACTTATACCAAGTTTCTAACATTTTATTAATTTAGTATTTATTTCATTTTATTATTTATATAAAAGTATAAATCGATGCAAGAGAAATTATACTGAATTTCAAAAGAAGACACTAGAACCCCAGTGAGATTCTTTGGGCATGTCAAAAATTACTTTCATAAACCAAATATTTAAGAATTTCTCTATAATGGGATTTTTAACTATTTATTATAACATTTACATCGTTCATTTTGTATGTTCTTAACAATTGTACTATTATAACTGTCAATTACAATATATGTGGAGAGGGCATCGGTAAGTTTTCGTAACTTTTGTCCCAGTCCGTTTGTACTTTATTTATGTTTTAGTACAATAAACTATGTTTAAACTAACTAAAAAAATAACATGGGTCAGTTATGTGATGACGTGTTGTGGTCTAGGGATTATTCTTCAAGGGTTACAAATTCATGCAACGTCATTCAAACACGTCACTACGCCGTGAAACTTGTATGTATATACTGTATTGTTACGTGGTGTCCAGCTAATCGAACATCATTTTATATTGTTGCTGTTGTTCATAGTATTTAACGTCCGCTTCCACCGAAAGCGGACTTTTATTATCTTAGCGCACGCACAGGAGTGTCCAGAATAAACCCACAAGATTGTGAAGGTGTCCCTATCTCCGAGGCACATACGCTTACACCAGGGATCGAAACTACAACCAACCAGCAAGAGGTCGAAGCGCGACACTCTAGGCAACTCGGCCTTTTTATATTGAATATTGAGATATGGTTATAATTGCTATGAACTATAGTCCTATATCATCATTGTGTGATATGTCTGTCTTCATTAAAAGTAGGATGTTAAACAACATTTCATTTATGTCTGTCATGTCATTTTATATTGTATTGTATTTTTACATGTGCATATATTACTGTTAATTCATATTCTCATATTCCTGAAACAATGGCGCGAGAAATCCCTCACTGGTCATTGCTGGATTGACTTCTGATACTTGAGCTTTCGAGGGAGACAGAACTTTCGAGTAACATGACAGAACTTCTTTTAATCTGGGGTCTTCCCTAAAACTTTGGACAGTGATTTATTAAAAACGGCGAAAGCATTGTTCGTCTCCAAGTAGTATTGTTTGCATTGTATGCCGTTTTCAAAGCCTTGTTTGTCACGCAATTAGTTTTTTTCTGCAATATTTTGTGATGCACTGGTTAATTGGGAGAAATAAAATTCGCGAGTCATGACGTGAAGTTATATAAACATATCTGGAGCTCTGTTTAAAGTCGAATGATATTGTTACGCACGTAGGTATTGGTTGTTAATCGGACTATTGACCAGTCATAAATTGGAACAAAAATTTGCTTTCGTTACAGCAGTGTTTAAAATACAGCGAGGAGTATACTGTAAACTATTCGCCTATATTATGTACCTAACTATTATATTTACCGTGTTCTTGTGTTGCTGTATATAAAGCTATATCTATCATGGTGTCTTTATTCTTATTTATAAATCCAATTGTCCAGGGTTTAATTCACGCTTTAAGGGATTCATCCCGATTCTTTACAGCGGAAATTGTGTAATATGTAACATTAACCCACTAAGAAATGGGAGGCTGCTGTTGGTTTTATTATCCATTGTGAACTTCTTTCTTGGATGTTGGTTGTTCCAGTGATTCAGGTGGGGTACAGTATCATCTTCTTTTTGTAACATGACGAAGGTGTTATCTATCTTTCAGAACCAGAAGCGGTTACAGTGCCTCCTTCTGGTGACATCATGTAAATTTCGTAAATCAGCGCTGATAAAGGACTTGCCATCGGTAAACCATGGGTCTGTCCATAATAGTTTTTTCCCCCATGTGAAATATGTGGATTCCAGGAATAATGGTATCAACTTTTAGTGATGTTTCCAGTGGTGTAGAAAGTTGTCGAATACGGGTTTCCAGAACTCTGAAATCAAGGCTTCTTCTCTTGGCACATTAGTGAGTCGACAACACTGTACGGGAGCAATTCATTGGAGTCCTTAATGAAAATATCCTTCCGTATGGAAGATTTTGAAATATCATGACTATGACAAATCCTACAGATTGTATTTTGGTGAAACAGAATGGACGTCAGGAGATGTTAGGGTCGTCAACTAAATCAAACCCCTTCTCCGAGAGTCGCGCTATATAAAACACGTACTAACCAATGGACTAATAGTGAAACGTTTAACGAAAAATGGTGTACGCGGAAGTTGAATTAACTCACCTCTTAAGGGAAGAAGAATGGGTTGGGGAACTACTTAAGCAGAGTTTTATTCACCCCCACCCCCACACACCCCCCCCCCCACACACACACGTCCTGTCGTCCTTATCCGAGATAGAAAGGGATTTCGCTTTCTTAAGTTAGTGTTATGTTCTAGCGGACCAATAGTGATACTTTTAATGAAATCGAAGTCGAATTAAGCCATCTCTCAGGCGGGTAACGGGGATGTTCTAAAGGGAGGAAGGAAGGGTCGGGGTCTTCTTAAGCAGGGTTTTGTTTGCGACATCTGAAGTTGGTCGACTTATGCACAAAAGTTGAGTGTTGTACGCAAAAGTCTAATTAAACTCGAAATTTCGACAATTTGTCAGACGCACCCACCCACACGCTAACCCCATGGGAATGGGACCCACAACTAAAGAATCAAGGTTCAGATCGGGCACCGCTATCAACTCATCTAGCATAGTAGAAATTTTGTACGCTATTTTCGGAACAACCTGAACCTAGCTCCCTTACTATAGTAACATTATTACAAACACACACAAGACCTAATTTGAATATGAAAATATCGAATTAATTCATCGATTTGTTATAGCACTTATGTTTATCAGTTTTAATTTAATTTCAGGCTATAGAGTTTGTTAGTGTCAGTTTAATTTGTATCTAAAGTGGGTATAATAGTTTAACATACATGTACACTAACCCTACACGATATAGATTTTGTTAGTGTCATTATATGGCTAGTTTGTATACCACATAATATTTCAAGTTTTATATTGTGCTTGTTGGGTGGTTAGTGTAAATATAAATTTGAAAACAAGCCATATATTCATTGTCATTTAAGTCACGCATACAACAGTCTATCTTGAAAGTGTCAATTACTGAAGTTATATCATATTTAAAGTAGATTACAATTGGATTATATTTTATTATTTTTACACTACATTGTCTAACTTTTATTCACAAATATTATTCACCACAAAAAAATAGACCAAAGCGTAATTTACATTTTACCTCTAACCGGGGCCGAAATCCTGCTAGTTCAAAATAAAAACGAATTTATAGACCCCAACTCTATGTATGATTTCAACAGTTGTAAGGTAGTAGGAATCGCCACTTTTTTCTATTTATATATCTGTCTAAAACTACTGGTTACTATTGTATGGCTATCATTAAAGTTATGACATACTTTTACCTGACCAGGAAGTTATACATCGTCACATTACAACATTCATATTGTTGATCAAGGGAGGATTTAAGATTGGATATTGTCGTAAGAAAAAGGGTAAAAATATATTACGGGTTAGTAAATATTATGTAGTGTTACTGTCGTGTGAGGATCGTGGTCATTAGGCCAGTTCATGCAGAAAACTAGAAAAGATATATGTCACGTAAGTTATGTCACCATGGTGATTTTCTTCAATTTTATTACTGCAACATTCTCCATTAAAACATGCCTGTTTAATTATAATATGTATTTCTACTTGTTGAATTAATATTAAAATATTCCTGTTTAATTATAATATGTATTTCTACTTGTCTACTTGTTGAATTAATATAAAAACTTGTCTGTTCAATATAATATTTTAAAAAGGGTAAACGTTCCACTAAGAAGTATCAATTCCTACTATTTTCTTAATCTCCATTTTTACAATAAAATGAAATATGAATTTGTAGGTAGATGAACCAAGGTGAATCAAGGTTTGTGTGGTTTTATGAAAATGAATAAGAAGGCAGTACCTGTATATATATATTTACTTGGTTTCTTTATCATGGTATTAACTGGACATATCAGAGTTATTCAAGGTTAGTATAGTATTGTTAATGAACTCAACCCTTTTGAATTAGTTTGTTCTTGTCCATCTCTTCTAATATTTGTTCCCCCGGGGAACGTATTACCTCTCTACTCCTACCACCGCCCCTGTTTAGATGTATATTTCCAGTAGATACTATTTATCTGAATTGACGATACATGTTGTTATTTGAATACAAAAAGATTTCACATTTTATTAATGTCAATTGTATTAATGCTTACTGTTACCCTTTTTCAGGACAAACAAATTGTAGAGGTAAATAATTATTTACATTAAACATCTGACACCATATATAACGTACGTAATATCATATTAGCTATGTGAAATCTGCAGAGATATTATGTGTTCTAGAAAGAACAATTAAGACTTGACTATTCAAAGTACGAAAAATAAAACCTCAAGAATTATACACTTCCTTAAAGTCCAGGTTATTTTTGCTGATGACAGCTTTATCAAGAAAAATGAAATGAAATGGGGTTTATCGTCCCACTGTTCTAATGAAGACAAGCATGCGTCTTACCGTGTACTATGAGGGACATGTTGCCCGGACAACGGCACTACTATCTACTCTTATTTCAAATTCCAACAGTCAAGTGTTTATACGTGAACGCAACTGTGCACACGAGACCTTAGTTTTTGGTCCCATCCGAACGACTAAGTCGGAGAATCCTGATGAATTTTTCTCAGCCAACACCTGGATAGAACACAGAACATCTAGGTTAATGAGTCACCATCTTACTCATTGAGCCACCGCTACCCCCTATGTAAAGAGAAATTCATCTCCAAAACTGTCTAAAAACATATTTTAGTTATGATTATGAATCCTCATAATCAACTACAACTAACTTGGTATGGTATACTGTGACAGTCTAATAGAACGAGTCATATATCAACTAACTTGATATGGTATACTGCGACAGTCTAATAGAACGAGTCATATATCAACTAACTTGGTATGGTATACTGTGACAGTCCAATAGAATGAGGCATATATCAACTAACTTGGTATGGTATACTGTCACAGTCAACGTATCGTACTGTTTATAACATTATTATAAATTCGGTAAATAAGACAATCTGTAAAACAAAAACAAAAAAAGTTGGTGCCACTAAAATCACTCACTAACTCAGCCTATAAGGATCACTCGTGTTGGCGCCACTCCCTTTTATTTCAAATGTTGGTTACATATCTACTGTATCACAGATCTCTATGTTAATATATGTGAAATATGTTAACCAAATGTGGAGACCAATATTCTCATTTAATGGGGCCTGACTTCATACTTCTTTAAAATCATAATCTATTATTTTATTTCCAGGTTCCAGTAGTTCTATATGCAGTCAATTAGACCTACAAGGAAGTAAATTCAATATATCTGGTTTACGGTATGACGAACAAGGTACAGGTTGTCAGTGTTTGCTGACTTTTAAAGATTCGTCCCATGTTGGTCGGTCCATAGCTATCAATGTCACAGCAAACTTTCCAATAGGGTGTCAACACGAAGTCTACTTTATACATAATTCAACTAGCAAGAAGTACAGCTGTAATCATCATGAACTTATGTATACCTTTAATGTTTCCGTTCAGGATAACTTAACGATGATACTAGTTCCTGGTGAACAATCAACTGGTGGTTTTAATTTTTGTTTCAAGATTTCCACAGAAACAGGTAAGGAAAGTAAATAAATTCACGATTTTGATTAAAATAAGGTAATTTGTAATAATTGATATGAATATGGTTAATTATAAGACATCATATTAATCAACACCTGTAATGTGTATGATAACATTTGGTCCAATTATCCTAATATCTTGAGCGAACAAATATCAACGACATGCTACCTTGTACATGAATCTCCTAGTCCTAACTGAAGTGACGACATATTGTAGAAATACACAAATAAAACTATCTCACATATACTGAGCGCCATTGAAAACGCATCACTTAGTTTTTCGTATAACAAAATGATCCTGTAAACATATATGATTTATTTTGCTTCTTATTGTGAACAATATTCAAAATGAAATGAAATGAAATGGGGTTTAACGTCCTACTGTTCTGGAACAATATTCAAATGGGAACACTTCAATAACAACACATTTGTACACTTATGGATGTTTAATCTGCAATCAAGGGTACAAAGTCAGAGGGGTCAAAACCAAAAGTACGACACAGATGTCAGTAGCGCGTGTGTCCTCCACGGGCCATCATCACGGTAGGCTACAGCATTAACGCGACCCCTGCCAATGTGTAGGGCGGTCCGGTGATGAAATGTGAAGCCTCCCCACACCATTACACTTCCCCCACCCCATCGATCCGTTTCGAAGACGCAGCAGTCTGCAAGACGTTCACTAAGACGTCTCCACACACGTTGACGTCCATCAGCGTGATCAAGATGAAAGCGACTCTCATCACTGAAGAGCACACTT